TGCTGCTTCGCTGAGGCACTGCTGCCGCTGTCCCCGCTCCTTCTGGTGTCGGGTGTCGCAGCGAGGTGCCAGCTCCTGGGCGCTGCGGGGTCGTGGTCAGGCCGCTGCTGAGGCTGCGGAGCCCGGCGGGGAGTGCACCTGTTCGGATCGTGAGGAGGAGTGTCGGTGCTTTGGTTCCTGGCACCTCCGTGCTTCTTTAGAAAACCCAATCCAAACACCCTCAGCGTGTCTACTCGACGTCAGTCACTCTTTAGGTCTGAAAAGTGCTCTAATTACGGTGTTCTGTGTGTAAGTGCCAGAGGTGCGGAGAAACCTGAGCGCAGCTTTAGGATCCGGTTTGTCAGCTGTGTCAAGAAACTCCGCAGTTTCGGACACTCCCGCAGCAATACTTCCTTGCTACAGGATACAGCTGTGTTTCTCACTGGAGTGGGAATGCGTTGTTTCATCCTCTTTCTGAGCTGAGACTGAAGTTCTCTATTTGAACAGTAATGTGGTGAAGAGAGGAAAAAAACCTGCTGGATTGTAGCAGCCACCAATTCACGGCTGTAAGTTGGCGCTAAAAGCATGGACTGCAACGAACTTGATTAGTGAGGCTGCTCGAGGTCTCAGGACATGTGTCTTGGTGCTGTTGTGTGTCGATGACAAAGCTGGCTCTTGCCCCTGGTGCTCACGGAAATTCTGTTCACTGTAGGTTTGCTAATGGTCAGGAGAATTGGACTGACTTTGTGTGCTCTGTAGTTCAAAAGAAAAACAAACTCCACAGTCCTAAAAACTTTTATTGAAATAAAGAGTGTTTTTTTCCTCAAACTCTGATTTAAGGAAACTTAATTTAAAGGAGCAATTTGAAAGAGATTATACTGTTTTATAGGCATATTGGTAGCTCAGATATGCTTGTTTAAGTGGTCCAAATGCTTTTTATTTTAGAAATACTTGTTACCTAGGAGGCTACAGTACCTAAGAACTTTGACCTATACCTTACTACTTCTATAGCTGTACTTGTTCTGTAGTCTGCCTGAGAATTGCTGAGGTCTGGCCTTACTACAGTGAAGGGGGGTGTGCGTGTGTGTGTGTTGTTTTTTGTTGTTTTTTTTTCTTTTAAATGGCAAGTTTTCAGTGGGAACTTACTGACCACTTAACAACACTAAATACAAAGTTTCATGTTTTTCTTTTTTTTTGGTCCCAGCTATTTACACTGATTCCTACTCCTTCCTGAAACTTCCTGTTTTGTCCCTTTTTTTTATATTAAAACCAATGGCTGAACATGTTCCTGTTTTCTCTTCCTTCTTTTCTCATCTGGCCTACTGCTTTATCTCTGACTTTTACTCCCTTTTTAATCCTTTATTGATGCCCTTGCATTTTCCAGTTGCCAGAGGTTGCTTAAGTTTAATGCTGTAAATACAGTGATCTTGGAAAGGACAGAAAATGCATGTAGGTATGAAAACCCACACTGTAACAGTCATGGATATGGAGTTCTGCTCTTGTCTCTGTTATGGATTTTTTTTTTGTGATCTCAGGTTATTTAAGCTTGTGACACTGTGCCTCAGTGTTTTCCATTTGAAGAGACTGATGCCTGCTATAAATCTAATGAAGTTAAAACCTGCATTGCTTTGAGAGACATGATAAAATTGTCAGTTACTACAAGTGTCCTCTATGTATTTCTTAGTAATGTGACTTAATCAAAAGATATATGCAGACTGTTCCTGCATGCTTCCAGCATGGTGGAGTGCTTAGTCAAAAATAAAAGTAGTGCTAGGGGTGAGTAGGTGGAAAATTAGTATCAGACTCATGTTTATTTTTTTTCTTTTTTCATGTGCTTATGGTACTTCATTAATTGCTGAGGAACCATGATTTTGGTAGCTGGGCCCTAGGTATTCTGATAATCTCTGAAGCAGGATCCTGAACTCTTAGACCAATGGGCTGCTATCTAGTTTTAGACTATGAACTGAACAAATTAGGGTTGGTTTTGGGTTTGTTTTTTTAAATTTCTTTAATGTAACTTCATGCACCAACTCCAGATTAAGATTGTAGTTTACAAAGCTGATGATACTTGAGTCCAGTGTCCTAAGGCAGTGGTTCCTACCTACTGTTTGAATGCTACTGTCCTTTTTCTGTTTTGTTTTATTTTGTTGGGTTTTTTCTTCTTCTTTGTTTTTCTCCCAGCTCTCAGAGAAGCTGCTACACGGCTAGCAAAGGATATTTCTCTGTTAAAGATAATTTTCTTATCAATATATAACCAATCGTTTAACCAAATATTGAAGAGTCCAAGCTCTGGTTTTGTTCTTCCAATGCTTGTAAGACTTCCTTCCCCAAAGTAAATGCTTCTATATTAATTGTCTGATATTTGTTTTCTTTTCAGCGGACTCATTGGACGCAGCTGGGCCATGGTGTTTGCTGCTGGAGGCTTCAAAGTGAAACTCTATGATGTTGCACAACAGCAGCTAACAAGCGCACTGGAAAGTATGCGGTAGGTCACCTTAGTTGGAGTGACTCAGGTTGTAATGAAACTGTGGGATTTCTGTGACTGTGAATGAACAGCAAAATCTTATTATTCAAGGGAGCATAGATTTTAAGCTATGAAGAAAGCTTTAACTTGGAAATACAGGTCCTGTTAAGATCAGAACTGTGTTTTCAAATCTCTCAGATACTTCTGAAGAGCACTTTAATTCTTAAGTAATGATTTAAGACATTAAGTTTAGATCCAAATTCTAGAAATTGTTTACTGTGATTAGGTTGTTAGGCTAAGCTTAAAATACATAAACATAACAATTTTTGCTTAGAAAGACAACTAAAACCTTTTCAGAATAGGAGTAGGTTAATATGGATTGCTGAGAAGCCCTGCAACAGTTATTAGTATTTTATAACTAGAATCTTTCAAATTCTTAAACTAATTTTTAAGTCCTAGAAGAACAGGTTGGTAGTTCCACTAAAAATGCAACCACTGATCAGTTATAGTAGAGGCTGGGAAGCATCTTTAGAAGGAGCAAATTGAGGGTTTGAACATGAGAACAGTCGCACCAGTTCAGACCAACAGTCCTCCAGCGCTTTCGGTGTTGCTTTGTGGCACTGTGGCTAAAGCCAAGTGTTTTTGGCACACAACAGACCTACAAGTTCAAGTCTTGCCTGTCTGCTCACCTCCCCAAACTTCAGTGCTTAGCATTTGCTTGTGTATTCAGTAACTCTTAACTAGACTTCTTCCAAGTATTTTTCTAACCTTCTCTTGAACCTGTGTAAATTATTTTGCGGCCTCCTTACCAAAGGACTTTGTGTTCTGCAGGTTTACTGCTTGCTGCCTAAAGAACCATTCCGTTTTGTTTGTTTTGAACCTGGCTCCTCAGTTGCTTTGTTGGACCCCTAGTCCTTATGTTAGAAGGGACCTGGTTGGTCCTATTCACCCTCTTCTTGCTGGTCCTGGAAATGCAGCTTTTATATGCTGATGAGAGTGCGTGAGTGCTTTTATAGAATAGTTCTGTGCACAATCTTATGTTGCTGTATCGGCATTTAATGCTAAAATTTGGGTTGCTTCATGATCAGCATCAACTAAATGCATCAGCCCTCCCTTCAGAATGTCTTGGAGTGAAATATGTCAGCTGCTCTTGTCAACCGATATGGGGAGTAAGCTGCACCTAAAAAAGGGTTGTGGTGTGTTGCATCCCAACTGCTTTCTGTAATGAGACTTGCAGCAAGGAGGAGTGACTTCAGGAGCCCCTTGTAGGTCAGTTCAGTTGTTGGTGTTTAGAAGTTAAACAGTTTGTTATATCTAATGAGATTTGCTAGAAAAGGCTTGATAATGAAAGGGGGGGAACATTTGTCTCCTATAATTTTTTTATTTTCTTTCTCCAAACCTCTCTTTCTAAGTGGGTGTTATGCTAGACGGAACATTTCTGTTGCTATGCCTGGATGACAGATGCTTTTGTTTGGTGATGGGTTTTTTTAGGTTGGTTTTTCTTTTTCAGAACTGCTGTCAGCAGTAGTCAGGATAAGATTGTGGATTATTGTGGAGAGGGCAGTTTTGCAGTCTGTTACTAAAGACAGTACTTGTCCCTAACTCCTAATAGCAAAATGAGGGCTTTAGCCTTCCAAGGTTTATGGCGTGGAAAAGTGAAGCGTAAAATGTCGTGTGTGATAGGGCACAGTGCTATTTGGGTGTGTCTGTACTGTCTTGTGCCTGCACATGCTGTCCCAAAGGAGTTCAAGGTGGGTTTTGCCTCTTACATAAGTTGTTCTTAACTCACAATTAACTTGTGTTTCTTGACTGTTGTAACATCCTAGTTAAAAAGCCCGCTTTCAGGACAGGGTAAGTGTTGTGACAAGAATGTAAGCTATGCAGTTTCTTCAAAAAGTGTTTTCGTGATTATATCTATCAAAATACGATCAAACTTGAACTTCTTTTGTAGCACACAACCTGCAGTACATCACTTTCAGTTACTGATGTGATACTTGTGTAAGAACTGGAGCTTGAGTAAGTAATGAGGGCTCACAGGAGAGAACAACTGGCAAAGGCAGCTGGTGGCTTCTTCTCTGGGATTTGCTTTCCTTTTTCTCTCCTTTCTCTAGTACTTTTAGGGAAGTTTTTAGGCTCAGGTTTTTTGTGGGTATTTTTGTATTAGTATTGAAAAGTATTTGTTTCACTCTGGTCTGCAGTCCATGAACTTTTAGTGTATGGAAATGTTCTATCTATTAAGGAGAAACTGGAGTGTATGGAGGACTGTTTGTAGTTTCCCTTTTATAAACAAAGGCGGGATTTGAGTAGTAAGCAACATTCACTTCTGAAAGGAGTTGCTGCTACTCTGACAGAATTGATGCTGAAGTATTTATTAAATTTTATGCGATGGACTTTTAGTTCATTGACTTGTAACTTTTTCTGAATTTATATAAAGGGTATCTCAGGATTTATTAACCTAATGAAATCAAGTCTTACACTCTCATAGGTGGGCAGCAGGGGTGTGTAGTCCTGCAAGAGGACTGGAATGAGTCTGGGATGGACTTAACAATGATAATGAGAGTCAGCATGTATCTGTATGAAAAATATGAAATGTACTCTATAAATTAATTCAAAACACTTGGTTATGGGTAAAGAATAAAATTAAAGCGTGGACTCTACTGAAACAAGTGGGAATATGTATCATGTTGCCACAGTATCAGTAGATATACAGAAAGAAAAGGAGAGTGTGTTCACTAAGGCCTAGCATGGTGTGATGGATTTACTACCTATCCACTTGTGGACACACATGTGGCAGTCAGTGCCCTGACACACAAAATGACCACATATTGGGTTGAACTGGGTGTACTGGTGACATTATTAACCAGTGTCTGCTCTAATGGAACAACCTTTTCTGCTGTTGAAGAAACAAACGAATGAACAGCCACACTTGACCTACTGGATGCACGCTGTAGTAACCTGTCTTGGAAAATGTAACTTTTCACATCTAGCATGTTTTCTTCTGAGTCAGTGTGATTCTGGTTTGAATGCAAGACTGAAACTTTAAAATAATGAGAATTAGAAAAACAAGTAGTACTCTGTTGCTGAAAGTAATCAAAAAACAGACAATGCAGAAGTGTTTTAGTGCCTGCCTGCCAAAAAACCTTTACGATTCTTGTAATATGTAAATTTTTTCCCAAACTGTTACTGTGCTACTGTTCTAAACATAATTATGCTGCTGATAAAGACTAATTACAGTGGAAATGCTATTTTTTTTCCCATATGTAACTGGTTCATGTTTTATATGTAACAGTTTTTGCTTGTATAATGAAAGACTGTTGCAAAGGGAAAAAGTTAAGTTGCCTCTGAAGAGGACACTGAAGCTTGGATATTTGTGCATGCATTCAGGGATTTCTTTCTAGAAGCAGATGCTGGTTAAATATGATATTTACTTAGTTTCAAAACTGAATCTCCTCCAGGACACAGGAGCAGGTGACACCTGTTAATATATGAAAAACAGACAGTTATATGCATAAAGTCTGTAGCTAACCTCAAGATAAAAAACAGTAGATGATTTTAGGAGTAGTCTGTGCTAAAATATAAAGATAAGATTACTTTTAAAACTACATTACATTTTATACTAGTAGCTCTTTTTCCATCTGCTGATCCTTCCTTTCTTCTCTTAACCCAAGTAGAAACATTTTCTGGGACAGGTTGAAGTTGGCTTTGTGAAGTGGTAGTTGTATATAGGGATATGAGCACATGAAATTACTATTGCTGCTTTTATTACTTAGAGACAAACGAAAGGCAATAGCAGTATCAAAACATGGAAGTATTTGTTTGGACGGAAAGCAACTTTGACACTCACTCTATTAAATAATAGAGACTCTTGCTCTTAAATTTAATTCATTAAAATGAAAATAAATTATTAGTGAGTTTTATTCTTCCAGAACAGACTTCTACAGAACTTTGCCTTCTAGATACTGATATACAGTGATAAGGTTGTATGGTACTGAATCTAAACTCAAAAGTCAGGCTGTTCAGTGAGAATTACTTGTATGTCAGCTTTATCTGACTATAGGCTGCCGTTCTGCAGGGTTCAAAGACATTAGCCCTTTAAAGAGTTGGAGCAAAGCAGTCTTGAGATCAGAATATCACACTTCCTCTCTTCATTAAGCATTAATTTAACCATAAATTTTATTTGACTTAATATGTAGTAAAGTGCAGTATTGCACTAAGCAACCTTAACTTTTTCTGTGCTGTAGGAGCACAATTGCTGTAAGAAATGAACAAGATGCATGGGCTAGAAAAAATGTAGCATTTCCCTGACCACCTCTGGCCAAGTGGAGGGAAGTGCTCTGTACTGCTGGGTGGGGATCTGGACCTTGTAATGAAGCACCTGATGTAGGACAGGTTGCAAGGCCAAGGGAGTACACCATATCTATGCCTATGGCTTTCTTGTAGCCAGAGTTTTGAAAGACTCTTCCCCCCGTAACTCAATCTCATAATCTTTCTCATTTCAGGAGGAGACCAGTCTCTAGAGCATACACTTGAATGTATATTACTTCTTGCTGTCTGGTGCCCTTTTATGCATGGCTTGTATAAAAAGGGAAACAGCTTCCTGGATTGGTTCTGTGAGGAGTACACCGATACAGGCTTTGCACTCTTTTCCCAGCTCATGGCATGTTCCATGGCTGTGTGGTTCAATACTTTTCCCAATCTGGCTTCCTCTTCCTGTCTCTGGGCTGTATTGCTGTATTGTATTGACACTGCGTTTGTATCAAGGGTAAAATGCAGCTTGGTTTAGGTGTGGGAGGCCCAGATTTCAGGCTGGTTTTGTGTGGTCAGAAGCAGGGATGCGAACTGTGGGTGTCTGTTTTACATAAGCAAACTTTAGATTTGGTGAAAATTTCCACCATGACCTTAAACTTCAAACAAACAAACAAAATACTAAGAGCCGTAGAAAATGCTTGCTGGCAAGAAGGTTTCCCAGCATAAACTTGTCAGTTCTGATGCCAAGTTGCCAAAAGAATCTTGACAGTTCTAAAGAGTGAACTTATTTAGCTCACTAGATCTGGAGACAACACTGGAAGTGATTTTACAAGGTTAAGAAGTGAGCTGTAATGAGTTGCAGACTCTGCTCAGACTTGGCAATATTGGTGACTCTGTATTTACTGTGGAAAAACATGACTGTAACTGCATTTTCCTGTTACAAAGCCTTTGCTCCCGTTTCAGCATCCAGTTTGGCTAATGTCAGAGTGTCATCCTGAGAGTGCCATGGCTGGGAAACAGTTTGTATATGGTAACTTCGGGAGAACTCAGAACTTGGATTGGCTTTTGTGCTTCACCATGCTCTTATGCTGTATCATGGCTCCTTTGCAGTCCTTTGCTTTGTGCCTCTTCAAAACTCTGTCAAAAGCACATAGGTGTATACTGCCATTGCTGCAGAGGAAGTACATTTGGCAGTGCTGGATCTCTTGTCTGGACAGAAGCATACATACTTTTGTGGTTCAGCTTGTACTGCTGTTTCAAGAAGGTGTAATGTGACTTCTCCATTATGGTGTGTGGTGTGCTTACCTTTAGTCTGGGGAAAGCAAGAAGAGGGAAGGTGATTCATTCGAATGGCCAATTGCAACTCAGTATTAGCCATTTACCAGTGCATATGTGGATGGTGAGCTGGTCCCAGTGTTGCAGCTTTCAGTTGCCTGTGTGGCCTGTTGTGTCTTAGGGCAGGTATATGGGGCTGCTGATGCTTTGCTGGTTTTGAGGGTTTTTTGCCATGCCAACTACCCTCTCATTTACCACACAGCACTTAATAGCAGTCTGGTGCCATGACTGGTTAATGGTCCTAGTCTTTGAGCAGTGAACTTACGCAGAATAATATTGGTGGTGTTTTCTCCTCTTCTCTCTCTTCTCCTTGTTGGTTTGGGCAGTAAGTTTGTGATTAAATGATCTTTAATCTTGCAAGTATTTGCTTTTTTTGCAACGATGTGTGCTGAATAGTGTGATGGCCCAATGGTAGCTGTGGATAAAGGTGAGGCAATGGGGTGTGGACAAGGTGGGTTTAAGTATTATCGTCACTTGCAAGGTCCTTATCTAAAAACTTTTAGAACAGAATTTGTAACCAGGAGCATCCCAGGCAGTTTATGTGATCAGGAGTGGTGTTACAGATTGGCTGCCTTATCTTAAAGCAAATACTGGCTCAGTTCTCAGAGTAGTGTTGACATGAGCTGTAAAACTCTGGAGGTAGACAAAGTGTGGCCTCTGAAAGGAAGTAGTATTTTCTTACAAATCTGAATTCTTCATTCATCAGCGACCTTTCGAGTATTAGTCAGACTCTGCTATTGTATCATGTGCACAGTTTGAAAAGTGAAGCTCTGTGGTGTGTTCTGGGGACATGGCTGCAGTGACCTCGGTCTGTGATCATCCTTCGGGATGATCACCCTGAAGTCCAGGCTGCTTTGAGTAAGAAGTCATCCAGCAGAGGTCAGTGGTGCACTGCTGTGTACACAAACCAGTCTGGTTTGTGCCTCAATGCATGATAAGTAACAGGGGAAGCTCCTTTCTTCTGCCACAGAAGTGTGGGCAACCTAATACCCCAGGGGAACATAAAGAGAGTTTAGAATTTGAGAGGCTTAAAACTAATTTGTGGAACAAAATGGCCAGAATGTCAGTAAACATACTGATGAAAGGCAGGTGGAGAGGGCAAAAAAAACTTCCTGGGAGGTAAGGCAAAATTTCAAGTAATGTACATATTGTATTTCCTCTTCCGTGCTTTAAACAACTATACTATTTTCACTATATAGCTAGCATGAACATTGGTGATATTAACAGGAAGATTGATTCCATGATTGGTTCCTTACTGTCTCACCTCCTGAGGTGTGAAGGAGTCAGAAATTTGGATACTCCAGTTTAGGTGCACCTGTCTGTTTACAGATGAAGCCCTGGCACCTTCAGTGTGCTGGAAGCCTTAGGTCTTGGATGCAACTCCTGCCTCGCAAGATGTGGTGTACCCTGGCAGCTTGGGAAGTGGAGCTAAAGCTTTCTCTTTCCCATTCTTTACCAGGCAGAAGTCTGTGCTTTTCACCCATCCATTTGCTGTTAAGGTGGATTTCCTGCTTATTTCTGTGGTGCTGCCTGGAGGGGTGTGTGTTTGATTTTTTTTTTTCTTGAATTGCTTTTAAACAAAACTTACCATAAACATAATTTCTGACGAGTTTAGCTTTGGGCAGGAAAGGTCTGGGGTTTTGAGCCTAAATCAATCTTTGAAAAAAGAGGCAGAAAGATATTAATGAAATGCTTCATCAGTTTTGGACTGCATAAACTGGTAGGAATACTAATTTTGGTGCCAAGTCTAAGGGGCTCCAGGGAAGCAAACAGGACAAACCTGAGCAGTGTCTAAAAAGTGCACGACTTCTGGCTTCGTTTTCCAGCTAAGAATGAATCTAGCCTTTTCAAAGCTCTTGTCCAGCATAACCAGAATGCGATGCCTTGCTGTTTACCCAGGCGTGCTCTGCCTAGGAGTCAAAATTCATGGTCCATGGTCAGCTCTGACAAAAATAGAGAAAATGTTAGAACTTGCAGTACAGAAATTATTATCTAAAGTTAATTGCTGATGCAGTTTGAAGAGGAGAAAATAAGTTCTGCCCATTTAATGTGTACTGTCCCGTAAAGCCCAGATGAATCACTGGTTATTCCTATAGACAGTTCTGTAATTTGTACAGTACAAAAATACGCTAACTTTTTTCAGGCTGTACAGCTTCTGTTTGTTACAGCTCTTGCACCATAACCAACTCTGTGGCAAGTGCAGCTTATTTATCATGTAAAAAGGCATCCAAGAAGAAGTCAAAACTTCAGAACTCGATTGGTAGGGAGAAGAAATTAATTTTTTTCCCCTGGTGCTAATAATTAGCTCAATTTCCTCCTCTTTTCAGGATGAGCAGTTTTTGCTGAACAATAACCAGAGGTTCAAAGGCATTCTGGCTTGAGGCAGCTGACAGATTTAACTGTGATAATGACTGCATCAAATAGCTTTAGGTTGATCGTGATCAGATAGTTTAATACCTCTTAATGTCTGTGGAAATTGTTCCTCAAAGTGACTATTAACAGTTTTGAAAATGGCTCCCTTGCTTGCTCTGGACTTTTGAGGGTTTCAAACTGTAAAGACTTCTGCTGGGAAGGTGGCAAGTCGAGCCTCAGCAATGGTGTGTGCTTGAACATTCATTTCAAGCTCTGGCCACTCAACTTAGTAACTATTTGAATTTTCTGTCACTTGCTCTGTAGTCATTACCTATATAGGGTTATGAGTTTTTTAGGAAGGACTTCTGGCTGTAGGGAAGGTACTTATTTATTTCCATGTAGTTAATCAGTGTTCACGGAGCTAGGCTTCAAAGCAAAAAAGCTGTTGTTTGTAAAAGTAGATAAAGTATATTAGTGAGACCTCTCTTCTCATTAAATATGAGTAGAAAAACTCTTGCTGATCCTGCACCAGTGAAAACAGGTTAGAGGTGGTGACAAGCTTGTGTCTAGGAGTAGATCTTAGAGCTGTCCATGCTTGAGGAGAAGTAAAAAGGTGTAAGATGGACAGAGCAAAGAGAAATGACTGAAACTAACCTTTGTATTTTTTGAAGTATAAATATATGCAGTGGCATGGCAAATAGCATAATACTACTGGGTTGCTAAGAAACTGTTTTAAAAAATAATGATGGTTTAGCAGTGATGAAGTACTTAATTGTGTATATTGTTTCTGTTAGCAAACAAATGAAAGACCTGGAGAAGGCGGGGTTCCTGAAAGGAGCTTTGGGTGCGGAGCAGCAGTTGGCGCTCATCAGTGTCTGTACAGACCTGAAGGCAGCAGTAGAGGGTGCTACTTTCATTCAGGTAAGCACAGATTTGATGAACGAGACATGAATCAAGAGCTGTGCTGTGTAGTCGATGGGCAATGGAGAGCTCAACATCCTGCACACGTAAGGATGGTTGTGCTTGTTAAAATTAAAGTTCTTTCTAGCCTAGTATCTTGACGTGGGAGATGATACTTCATTGCAGGATTTCCCTGCTTGAGTGTCCTTGCAGGTTTCTTTTGGGTTATATTGGGAGAAGCTGGTAGCTGACTAAGCCAAGAGAATTGCTGATCTCCATTTGTAACAGTGACTGTATCTGTTTGAAAGAAGAATGTGGAGTTTGGAGGGCAGGAGATCCTTGAGGGAGAGATTATCTCTTAAGGATCACTGCACATTGTAGTGCTGGGATTAAAATGTGTTTCTTTCTCTCCAAATACCTCAAAGGCAGGGAATATGGCTGTGCCAAGGGGTGACTTCTGTTCTGACTGTGGGGGAGACTAGCCAAAAGCAGTGATCTGCCAGAGTGTTAGTGTTAAAAACAGGGTTGATATATACGGCTGGAATCTGTGTTGCTAAGTAGAATTGGGATGGGGAACAAGCTGTAGTACTGAACCTGATAGTCTGTGGCTGCTTAACTATTAGTATGCTCACTTGCATGGGCATAGTTCAGGAAATAGATGAATCAGGGATCATTTCTGGGATAAAGTATGAGTGAGTTTGCATTGGACTTGGCATCTTCTACCCTACGTGGTCCCCCAGTATTATTCCAGTGTTATACCATTAACTGTCCCTGTATGTATGTGTGCTGCACCTAAGAATTTACAATTTATACTGTTTCAGGCTGGAAATCCCACAGTCTGGTTAGTTGCAGCTTATCCCTGATAATAAATTGAATTAAAAGGGGACAGATTTCCAGACTTTTTCTTCCTCCCAAGCTGGTGAGGGAGAGAGAATGGGAGGCAAGGTGTGAATGCACTCTAGATTTTTGCAGTGGAATATTGCTTTGTGTTTGCTTCCTTTTCTCCAGATCATGAAACTGTATGTTACCCCAATATCTTACTCCCTCATCAGTAACAAGCTCAGAGCTTGACAGTTCATATTATTGTTTTCACATATGTGATGCTTACCTCTACTGAGTTTAATCTGCACATTTATTGTCTAATCACGCAATCGTGTAAAGTCCTACCACAAATGTTTGTGATTGTAATGATGATGACTGACTTAATTTTATGAGCAACTTTCAGGTCATCTATAAATGGATATAGCAAAAGGCACAGATACCTGTGAAAGAGCACTGGTCAGCATCTTCCACTGAGTAAGAGCTGACTGTTCTTCCCACCGTCTGCTTACTATGTCTTTACCAGTTACTGTCCATGAAAAGAGCTCTTATATCGCATGTGACCAGTTAACTTCTTTCAAAGATTTTACTGATTTTTGTTGCAAAACTTCTGGGCATTCACACTGACTGCATCAGCTATATGATGCCTGTGCCTGTGCTTGCTGCTTCCTTCGGAGAATTCTCCTTAGGTCTGTGAATCAGGACTTCCTTCTGAAAAAAGTTGCTTTGATTCTTCCCCATTTATGTAATACTTACTCAGTGCTACACATTTCTCTTAATTTGCTTGATAAAGACATAAGGGTTACAGACTCATTGTTGAGATCTTTCCTGAAGTTCCCTTAAAAGGTGCATCATGCTTGCCACTATACTGCTGTTCGGTAACAAAATAGTATACAGTCTGCTTTGTTTCAAGTGAGCAGTTGCGTATCGCTATTACTGTGTTGGGTCTTCAAACCATATCAAAACATGTTCTTGTTACCTTGGTTCTGCTTCCCCTCTCCTCTGTTCTATGACTTGAGACAGGTGCTGGGAGTGCCCAAGTCTAAGGCTGCTGTTTTCTGTGAGGATTAGGGGGAGAAATAGGACGATAGCAAAGAAATCTTTTGTCTATGTGATCCTGCTCTGTCTAGGTGATCCTGCTCTGGCAGGGGGGTTGGACTGGATGGTCTTTCGAGGTCCCTTCCAACTCCTAATATTCTGCGATTCTGTGTGATTCTGTGAAATCGCTGTTCTGTGTGTGTTTTCCAGATGATCGTCCTTCTGTACTCTGATCATCTCTTGGTCCTATGCATTCTTTGTGTATTTTGAAGAAAGAAGGGAATTTTTCTTTTAATTCCTCCTGTAAATTGCAGGGGGGTATGTGTCTGCTTGTGTTGTCTTGTTTTGACAAATTACAAGTCCTACGTGACAGTGTTCATTTGGGTGCTGCCTCAACTTTGTGAAGGCTGCCTCTTTGGTCCTAGTAGACTCTCCTAGTTCTGCCTGTTTCCTTTTGCTCTTTCAAGTGTTTCTTACTACTTGGTAAGTCCGTATGGTGTCTTTACTTTCTCTGTATGCTACCTGTAAGGATCTGACCTTCTGATCTTTCTCCTAACTTTGCATCTTCTTAGTATCCTCACTTTCTGTTAGTTTCTTTTGAAGCTAGGCACAGCTGTGATGGAGTTCATGGCTCTCGTTGCTCCTACAGAGATGTTGACTTTTAGCATGCTGTTGCTCCTCTGAGAGAGGCTCTTCACCAGTAACATTTTTGAACAAGGTCCTGCACGCTACTTCAGATTAAATCAGGGGCTGCATTATCCATCTATAAAACAGGCGTAGGGCAAATGTTGCAGAACCAAAGTAATGCTGAGTTGACAGGGACCAGTGGAAGTCATCTGGTCCAACCTGCTGCAGGATTGACTTATATCAGCTTGCTCAAGACTTGTGCAGTTGACTTTTGAATGACTCTAATGATTCTTTGGGTAACTTGTTGCAACGTTTGATTACCTTCATTGTTAAACTTCTTATATCTAATTGGAATTTCTGTTCTTGCAGCTTCAGTCTCTTGCCCCTAGTCCTGCTGCTGTGGACCTCTGAGAAGAATCTGGCTTCTCTGTGTGTTCCCTTCAGGTAGTTGAAGACAGGGGTGCTGTGTTGATAGTCTCTGAATAGCAACAATCTTCATGGGGTAGCTCAAGCTTTCTGGTACTATTTCTTGTTGCCTTAACCCTTTTGATGTCTCTTAATGTGTCGTAAATAAGCATATGCAAAAAAAAAATTAAACAGCTGGAGTATGCCTGTGGGTAACAGATTGTATGTGTCAAACGTGGTTGGTGATATTTGTATCAGCTCATCAGTTTCAAACCATAGCATCAAATTTTGGTTTGATACGAAGTGCTAACAAATACACAAGGTAAATGGGCAAATTATTTGAACTGGTCGTTAATTTGCGCTTAGAAAGGGAGTGGAATCGATATGGAAATGTTAATTCTAACCGCACAGCCTTATTTCAGCAATGAACAGACTACTTTCTGGCTGAACCCTCTTAAACTTCAGAGATGTTTCCTAGTGCAGCTTTGAACCTGGAAGAACAAAATGGACAAATCGTTACTTATGAGTACAAGTGTTCTGACTTTTAGTTACTTAAAAAATTAAACATCAGTTGCATTAATATTAGTTGAATATAGAGGACACTGTTTTCTCACTTAATGGTATAACCTACTGATTAACTTGTTAGAAGACTTCCATGAGAACTGCATTTCATTACCCTGGATTTCAGTTGGTTAAATCTTAACTTCTTTTCAGATTTGGCCTTCATAGAGTAAGTCCACATCAAGCTTTAAAGATTTCTTTGATGTTTGCACTCCTTGAATGAATTCTGTGGACAGTTGCCATCTGTACTGTTTTCATGGGACATAACTTAAAACAAATGGGATGTAGTAGTAAAAGGTAAAACTTTTTAAGTGACATGAGTGAAGATATAGAAGTGAAAAACGTGCAAGAAATATTTAGAAGGACTGAGTAAGAAGAAAATTCATAACATTACGGTTGTGAACCTTTAAAAACAAGGTATGCCTTGATGCGTATTATTTTACATTCTCTCTCCTTGGTGTGCTTTGCATCAACTTCAGAAGGAAATCAGTTGTGGTTGTTTTTTTCTTCTCTAAAACTGAATATTTGCCAAATTTAACTTCTTAGAGCTTTTCTATGCTACTTAAGAGTAAGTGTATAACCTATAGCATTTAGGTGAATGTACACTCCAAGCATCTTGCATCACTAAAAGCCTGAATTCTGAAATAACTTTTTCATTAGCTGAAAACTCCATGGAGACGAATTAACGGATACATTTGTACTATAATGCCCTTGGCATGGGGCTATCATGGGCAAGGTAAATGTTTCTTAATATTGAGCGCTTAACTTTCTTGCATAGTCTATGATGACTTCTGTTTTTTTGTCCTCCTGTCACTATTGGGTACTCCTTTCACTGTTAAAACCAGATCTGAGTGGATGTGTGTCCAGCTCCTAAATCAGATCAGCTGAATAGAAATCAGTGTAGCACTTCTATGATGTCTTACTGCAATGCTAGTAAAATGTAAACATACCTTTTTAAAAATGCTTTGCTTTGAAACAGTTTACTAGCACATAATCAAGTTTACAGCTCTCAGAGGAAGTTGAGTCACTGTTAGTTGGATCTTACTTGTGCCACCTGAGCTGCTGTGTGCACTGGGGAGCTGTGAGCCCTGACTGGGCTGGCTGAAGCCAGGTGTGGAGAGTGGCTGAGAGGTGACCTCTGAACCCATCAGTTGTGCTGTGGCATGAGACAAAGCAGACTGGTAAGGAGATGAAATTAGGCTTCTAACTTGTACCTTGTGGTCCGAGGTATTTATCCTTTCTGCTTTTAAAGCAACTCTGCCTAAAAGCCTTAGAACAGTAATCTTCATGGTTTTTCTCTCTCCTCTTTAAAAAGAAAGGGTGTGCTCCTTTCCCTTCCCATTATCCCTGCAGACTCACTTGAACTGGTGATAACAAAACTGGTAGATCTTCAGCCTGATCTCTTTTAGATCTTGCTGCCTTTATCTCTCTCAGTTAGATGTACTTGGAAAGAAGTGTGTTACTGGCTTAAAAAGAGCTTTCAAAAAGCGTGATGGTGTCTCAGAATAGGAGACCACCATTGACTTGGGAGCCTTGACAGCACGTGTCCTGTGTCTTCTGTCATGAAAGTT